CTTATAGAGGACTGGTGAATCCTGATCCAGTTGAGCGCTATTTAGCGTCTCATTTCCACACTCCCTCCACTTACCAGGATAGCACACCCGATCCTTAATGGGTCACCTTCCCTGTATTAGATTTTTATGTATGTGTGTGGTTGTCTGTCTGGTGTAATGTGTATATGTGGATTCTTCCAGGTGTGTGTGTGTGTGTGTCGCCTGATGTGTGTAGTATACGTTTTGCATGTGTGCTATATCTGATAAGTGTGAACATGTGAGTTGTGTGTAGTATTTGTTTGTAATGGTGATTGCTTATTGTGTTGTGTTTATGTGGTCTATTAGTGGTATTGTGCATGTATGTGGTCTGTCTGTTTTGTTATGTATGTGTGTGGACTATCTGAGTTAATGTGTTCTGATGTTAAAGGAGCACTATAGTGCCAGGAAAACAAACTTGTTTTTTTTAGGTTCCCCCACCCTCATGGCCCCCCTCCCACTGGGCTGAATGGGTTAAAACCCCTTCAGCCACTTACCATCCTCCAGCGCCGGGATCCCTCGGCGCTGGTGGCCTCTCCTCCTCCTGCCGACATCAGCGCCGAATGCACATGCACAGCAAGAGCCGCACGCGCATTTAAACAGCCCATATGAAAGCATTACTCAATGCTTTCCTATGGGCGTCCAGCGTCTTCTCACTGGGATTTTCACAGTCACTGTCAATGAGACAGCCACTGGAGGCTGGATTAACCCTCAGTGAAACATAGCAGTTTCTCTGAAACTGCTATGTTTTCAGCTGCAGGGTTAAAACTAGAGGGACCTGGCACCCAGACCACTTCATTGAGCTAATGTGATCTGGGTGTCTGTAGTGGACCTTTAAGTGTACATATGTGATTTTCTTGTAATGTTTCTGAGAGTTGTGCTGTCTGTCTGTGGAATTGTGTGTGTGCATGTGGCCTTCCTAATGTGTTTATATATGGGAGAGGGTTGTCTGTGGTATTGTATGTGTGCTGTGTGTATGTGGGGGGTGGGGGCTGTAGTATTGTGTATGTTGGTCATTTGAGGTATTGTGTGTTTGTGTGTGGCTGTCTGTGATGTTAACGTTAAGGTTTTTTGTGTAGGATGACTTCTATGTGGTGCTTTTTGTGTTGTAGAGGCTGTGGTTTTGTGCCCGTGTTTGTGGTGTTGTGTGGAGAAGGGTCTGCTTGTGAGGCTGAGTATGTGTGGCTTGTCTGTAGTGTGGTGGGGAAGTGAATGGGTGTTGTGAGGTGGGCTCTTAACTGAAATAACATTTTGATCCAACCATATTTTTATTCCCATGACCACATGCCTACCTTTGGCCAGGAAAAAGGGCATACGTATTCAGTAATCAATGGCGGTCAAGTGGTGGAATTTGCAGTCTGCAGCTTCCAGGGTGTAGACCCCTTCTGCCTATCGCTCTCATCTGACACTTTACAAGCGGCTTAGGGCAATGCCATGGTACCCCACCGCAATGACCTGAATCCCTGAAAAGAGGTTAGAAGGAGACCCCGCTGGTGTCTATGGGCACTTGGGCACTCTGGGGCAGCTGGGAATACCCATCTGGCTCATTTGAGTCTGTCAGCATCATATGCCATGCATGGCACACAGGCCATAGAATGCCAAACCCTGTGCTTGGTGATATTTGTCAATACCTTATGCATCATCTTGTTGCAATTAGGAAGAATGCTAATTGCAACAAAATTTAATTAAATATAGTGTTTATATATGAAATAAGTGAGCAACCTCAGATAAAGACAAGCGGTATTCTAAACTGAAGATTTTATTCAATGTTTTAGAGCACTTATTTAGAGAGCTATTTCACTCTGAGCAGGAAAAGTAAGAAATCGTTAATCTGTTGTTATGATTATTATTATTTTATTATTTATATAGCGCCATCAGATTCCGTAGCGCTGTAAAATGGGTGGACTAACAGACATGTAATTGTAACCCGACAACTGGATGTACAGGAACAGAGAGGTGGAGGGCCCTCCTTACATTCTAGAGGTTCACTCTCAATCATCTAATTCTGTCACTCACTGTTGTGGTTAATCATTACAGTGGGGATTCTTAAATTTGAGAACAAAAAAAGTTAACTAGAAAATTTCTCCCAAATCAACTACATTCCTGAAAGTCCATATCCACAAATGGAACGAATGTTACATATTTAAGATGTGTGTTTGTGAATCTGTCATGTGTGCGAAGACGTGTATGAATGCATGTTTGTATACATGTAGAACTGTGTAAATAGAGCTGAGGGACTGCACACGTGTATCCTGGGATTGTCCAAGGTGCCTCACAGACTAAAAGGGCATAACCTTCATTCCAAACTGTAACAAAGACAACGTTCCAGGCACTCAATGGTGGATCCAAAGCAGACTTTATTAGATACAAGGCAACATTTCAACTCCTGTATCAACTTTATCAAGATAAAGACTTTTATGAAAAATAAAGATGATATTGCTTGGCACATTTTTACTTATATCATTGTTATTGCCATGAGTATTTTTAATTGGTTAGCTGCTGCGCACTAGTGTATTTAATCAGATCAAAACTTGTGAACAAAGAGGAGCACTTTTTCATGCTGACCACAAAAAATAAAAATACAATTATACCAATTTGCAGCAGTGTGTTTCTTACAATTTTCCAGATGTACAAATAAGAGGGGAGAAAGTAATAGAAATATGATATTATAATATTGCAAAAAGTAATTGGATACAATACAGAAAAACACACCTTCCTGTGGGCCCTGGGGTGGCTACAATAGCTGTACATTAGGTGTAGTTGTGGAAACTGAAATTTGGCTGAACTGCACACTTCGGCAGCATAAGGGTTAGTCACGGGGTGGTGGCCAGCTTTTGCTAGCCAACCATCACAGTAAATAGTTTATAAAATATAAGCTGATGGGTGTCAATATGACCCCCACATTAGTGCATGGGAGGTTTTATACCTAACCCATGATTCCACTCACAATGCCAATATGTGGAGACGCAGTGTTCTCACATGCTCCCAACTGTGGCCAGCAGGTGGGAGCTGTAATTAGAATTAATTATATTAAAAATTAAATAAGCTCCCACCCATAGTCAGAGGTGAATTCTCTAATTAATAAATCAGGAGGACCTAAAGTCCACACAAACGCCACCTATAAAGGGGTTCTAATATTGCTGAGGGGGAGACCTAGTTCCCCCCCCCAGTACCCACCCACGTGTGGCAGGTCGGGATACTAATATTGATACAGGGAGGGACCTATGTCCCCCCATTCATTTTAGTTATAGCCCCTATATTTAATTAGAGCACCATCATGGGGGCTTCAGGTATTTACTTTATGATCTGTCTACCCCATTCTTTAAGTTGAATCCCCCACCCATTGCCCATGAATGGGCAGCAATAGTGTCTGGTCACATGGTTTCACATCAAATCATTTAGGAACTGTTTGGTTTGCCATTAATAATTTTGAAGTCAAAGCAGATAAGATAATTCTGTCACTGGTTGATGGGAATAATTCATATTTATATCAAACCATTATTAAACTTTGATTTAAAAACCAAAATTGATGGTCAGCACGTAAAGTCAAGCCTAGTAGTTCTGTTCCTTAGAGTGCATGTTTAAAGATATCGCTTTAATCTGAATTGATTGTGGTTTCACTAAATGAATGCAATCCCATTCCACTAGATGGCACTGTCATTTCACTGTTAAGGAAAGTCTATCCCATAAAACGTAAAACTTCCTTTTGATCAAATGGCCCTTTTTGAAATGTTCCTAAAATAGGGTTATGGTGTAATGTCATGATCCTGAGAGATTTACCACCCCAGAGCTTTCATGAATATCTCTCAGGTTGAAGAAACAAAAAGGTTTACAGCGTAATCTAAAATTTGAGTAATGTCATCTATATCTTGTAAAAATATCCAAAACTTTTTATGAAACCAGCAGATTTGTCAACCCATCTGGCCCTTTTATTTAAAGCAGACATTTAATGTAGTTAGTTACAAGATTCCAAGTTAAGTTTGGAGAGTTAAAGATGGCTCCTTGACAGCGCTGTCGTTCATTTGGTAAACTGTGGGCTTAAAGGGAGAGAGCATGCAGGAACGTAACAGAACTGTCGGAGAGAGCATGCAGGAACGTAACAGAACTATCGGAGAGAGCATGCAGGAACGTAACAGAACTATCGGAGAGAGCATGCAGGAACGTAACAGAACTGTCGGAAGAAAGCATGCAGGAACATTGCAGGAATGTAACAGAACTATCAGAGAAAGCATGCAGGAATGTAACAGAACTATCGGAGAGCATGCAGGAACATAACAGAACTATCGGAGAAAGCATGCAGTAACGTAACAGAACTATCGGAGAGAGCATGTAGGAACGTAACAGAACTATCGGAGAGAGCATGCAGGAACGTAACAGAACTATCGGAGAAAGCATGCAGGAACATAACAGAACTATCGGAGTAAGCATGCAGTAACGTAACAGAACTATCGGAGAGAGCATGCAGGAACGTAAAAGAACTATCGGAGAGAGCATGCAGGAACGTAACAGAACTATCGGAGAAAGCATGCAGGAACATAACAGAACTATCGGAGAGAGCATGCAGGAACGTAACAGAACTATCGGAGAAAGCATGCAGGAACATAACAGAACTATCGGAGTATTCTCAAAACAACAGCACATGGAGAGACAAAATAGTATAAGAACAGCCAGGTGCAAACCATATAAACACTCCCTCAAGTGCTTTAAATATTCAAATGTATATAGAATATAGAATGCACACTATAACAATCTCAAAAAAAACTTTGCTTTATTATGTACAAAAAAGTACCAGAGTGAAAACATATAAGAAAAGATAAACAAAGTGACAGAAGCAAGGGCAAACACAATAAAACAATAGTAAATTACCACAAAAATTCTTACAAGCCTCCAGACAGAAACACGAGTCACCAAACCCCCCAACGTTTCGGCACCAACTGGCTGCCTTTATCAAGGGTACCTTACTATCGGAGTAAGCATGCAGTAACGTAACAGAACTATCGGAGAGAGCATGCAGGAACGTAACAGAACTATCGGAGAAAGCATGCAGGAACATAACAGAACTATCGGAGAAAGCATGCAGGAACATAACAGAACTATCGGAGAAAGCATGCAGTAACGTAACAGAACTATCGGAGAGAGCATGCAGGAACGTAACAGAACTATCAGAGAAAGCATGCAAGAATGTATCAGAACTATCGGAGAAAGCATGCAGGAACATAACAGAACTATGGGAGAAAGAATGCGGGAACGTATCAGAACTATCGGAGAAAGCATGCAGTAACGTATCAGAACTATCGGAGAAAGGATGCAGGAAAATAACAGAACTATCGGAGAAAGCATGCAGGAACGTAACAGAACAATCGGAGAAAGTATGCAGTAACGTATCAGAACAATCAGAGTAAGCATGCAGGAACGTAACAGAACTATCGGAGTAAGCATGCAGGAACGTAACAGAACTATCGGAGAAAGCATGCTGGAACATAACAGAACTATGGGAGAAAGCATGCAGGAACGTATCAGAACTATGGGAGAAAGCATGCAGGAACGTATCAGAACTATGGGAGAAAGCATGCAGGAACATAACAGAACTATGGGAGAAAGCATGCAGGAACGTAACAGAATTTTGGGAGAAAGCATGCAGGAACATAACAGAACTATGGGAGAAAGCATGCAGGAACATAACAGAACTATGGGAGAAAGCATGCAGGAACGTATCAGAACTATGGGAGAAAGCATGCAGGAACGTATCAGAACTATGGGAGAAAGCATGCAGGAACATAACAGAACTATCGGAGAAAGCATGCAGGAACGTATCAGAACTATTGGAGTAAGCATGCAGGAACGTATCAGAACTATCGGAGAGAGCATGCAGGAACGTAACAGAACTATCGGAGAAAGCATGCAGGAACATAACAGAACTATCGGAGTAAGCATGCAGTAACGTAACAGAACTATCGGAGAGAGCATGCAGGAACGTAAAAGAACTATCGGAGAGAGCATGCAGGAACGTAACAGAACTATCGGAGAAAGCATGCAGGAACATAACAGAACTATCGGAGAGAGCATGCAGGAACGTAACAGAACTATCGGAGAAAGCATGCAGGAACATAACAGAACTATCGGAGTATTCTCAAAACAACAGCACATGGAGAGACAAAATAGTATAAGAACAGCCAGGTGCAAACCATATAAACACTCCCTCAAGTGCTTTAAATATTCAAATGTATATAGAATATAGAATGCACACTATAACAATCTCAAAAAAAACTTTGCTTTATTATGTACAAAAAAGTACCAGAGTGAAAACATATAAGAAAAGATAAACAAAGTGACAGAAGCAAGGGCAAACACAATAAAACAATAGTAAATTACCACAAAAATTCTTACAAGCCTCCAGACAGAAACACGAGTCACCAAACCCCCCAACGTTTCGGCACCAACTGGCTGCCTTTATCAAGGGTACCTTACTATCGGAGTAAGCATGCAGTAACGTAACAGAACTATCGGAGAGAGCATGCAGGAACGTAACAGAACTATCGGAGAAAGCATGCAGGAACATAACAGAACTATCGGAGAAAGCATGCAGGAACATAACAGAACTATCGGAGAAAGCATGCAGTAACGTAACAGAACTATCGGAGAGAGCATGCAGGAACGTAACAGAACTATCAGAGAAAGCATGCAAGAATGTATCAGAACTATCGGAGAAAGCATGCAGGAACATAACAGAACTATGGGAGAAAGAATGCGGGAACGTATCAGAACTATCGGAGAAAGCATGCAGTAACGTATCAGAACTATCGGAGAAAGGATGCAGGAAAATAACAGAACTATCGGAGAAAGCATGCAGGAACATAACAGAACAATCGGAGAAAGTATGCAGTAACGTATCAGAACAATCAGAGTAAGCATGCAGGAACGTAACAGAACTATCGGAGTAAGCATGCAGGAACGTAACAGAACTATCGGAGAAAGCATGCTGGAACATAACAGAACTATGGGAGAAAGCATGCAGGAACGTATCAGAACTATGGGAGAAAGCATGCAGGAACGTATCAGAACTATGGGAGAAAGCATGCAGGAACATAACAGAACTATCGGAGAAAGCATGCAGGAACGTAACAGAATTTTGGGAGAAAGCATGCAGGAACATAACAGAACTATGGGAGAAAGCATGCAGGAACATAACAGAACTATGGGAGAAAGCATGCAGGAACGTATCAGAACTATGGGAGAAAGCATGCAGGAACATAACAGAACTATCGGAGAAAGCATGCAGGAACGTAACAGAACTATCGGAGTAAGCATGCAGGAACGTAACAGAACTATCGGAGAAAGCATGCTGGAACATAACAGAACTATGGGAGAAAGCATGCAGGAACGTATCAGAACTATGGGAGAAAGCATGCAGGAACGTATCAGAACTATGGGAGAAAGCATGCAGGAACATAACAGAACTATGGGAGAAAGCATGCAGGAACGTAACAGAATTTTGGGAGAAAGCATGCAGGAACATAACAGAACTATGGGAGAAAGCATGCAGGAACATAACAGAACTATGGGAGAAAGCATGCAGGAACGTATCAGAACTATGGGAGAAAGCATGCAGGAACATAACAGAACTATCGGAGAAAGCATGCAGGAACGTATCAGAACTATGGGAGAAAGCATGCAGGAACGTATCAGAACTATCGGAGTAAGCATGCAGGAACGTAACAGAACTATCGGAGTAAGCATGCAGGAACGTAACAAAACTATCGGAGTAAGCATGCAGGAACGTAACAGAACTATCGGAGAAAGCATGCAGGAACGTAACAGAACTATGGGAGAAAGCATGCAGGAACGTATCAGAACTATGGGAGAAAGCATGCAGGAACGTATCAAAACTATCGGAGTAAGCATGCAGGAATGTAACAGAACTAGCGGAGTAAGCATGCAGGAACGTAACAGAACTGTCGGAGAAAAGCATGCAGGAACGGTGCAGGAACGTAACAGAACTTTATCAAAATTCTAAGCGCTGCCAAAAATAACTGCCTTTCTTGAAAGTAGTCATAAAGGTTATTTACTAATATGAGAATTTCAAATAAATTTAAAACTTAAGGCAAGAATATTGAACTGAAAGCATAACTGACTTGAAGCATTTTTCAAGTTCAACGACTTTACCTAAAATTAGAAATTCACTTGGAATTCACTTTAGTGAATAATCCTGTCAAATATGAAAAAACACAAAACATTTTAGCCGTAGGGAGATATTTAATTTAGAATGAAACCAGAGTATCTTTCTTACAGACATTTCTAAATACATGTATTTTAGTTTAATACCGCATGCTAAAACATACTGAAGGCCCTTATTATCGAAGACAACCTATAATGTCTTCCCTCTATTAAAATAAATAAAAAATGATATCACTGTGTTGGGACTTGTATCTAAGGAAGGCCAGGCGCACCAAATCCTAAACTAATTAAACAAGAACATGTTTATATGACTGCACAGTCGTTGGATGCCTTTTTCATAAATATAACCTTGAATGTCCCACAGGTACTTATATAGAGTAAGATAAACAAGCGTTAAATAAATAACACAAGGTCAAATATAAATATATAAGTAACGAATGTGCGTTGCCTTTCGGAAGGAGGAACAGATAACATTTTGCAAGACTGGTGTTGAGCAAGAGTTTGGAATGTCCTTTCGTGTGAACCAAAAGAATACTTCCCTTGGCAGAGCATTTCATTTTGAATAATGGGACTATTTAAGTTTCTCAGCTGGCTTATTCCAGTGTCTGCCTCTTTTATTGTTAATTTAAAAAAAACTGTTTGTTTATTTTTGAAAATTTGTCAAAAGTAACACCTACATTACACTAATAAGATATATAGCGTTCAGCGTGATCAGCATGGCAGATAGCTGGCCCACAAGGCCAATGCAGGTGGGTACAGTTGCAGGTGGGTACAGAAAGGCATTTCGAAGTGGTACTGGATGTGCACTGATAAACATAATAACATTAGAAAAATAAAAAAATAACAACATCGAATAGGTAATAATCGCAGCCTAAACATGGATGATTGCAGAAGGTACAATACATTTTGATGCGATAATAAAGTCGCTACTTTGTGAATAGCGAGAGGTTATCATCATCAAACCTGGGGTCTGGGTAAGTATGCTACTTCACTGTAGAGGACATCTACCTATTTGGTTGCAAGAAAGTTGAGACAGGATTTAATGCAACCAAGTCTTCCAGTCTTGGTTGCATTAAGAAACTGCGGAAGTAGGGTTGTTGTTTTAAAAATGTTTACATGTACGCAAGGATTGAGAAGTACAGTTGAATAGGAGAGAGTCAGGGGTAAAAGGGATCTTGGAGGAAATGATGGTACTTATCTAAGGTTTTTTTTTTCCTTCAGTATTGCTTAATTTTAGGACAGTACCATGAAAAATTGCCTGAGGAGCCAGGCTCCACTCTAAATCTCCTACACATTGAAGGAATATCAAGTACAATCCAATGGAGCGCCTGGGGTGTTAATTATAAAATGAATAGTAGGTGGCATTTGACTAAATGCATGCTCGAGTCAGTTGAGGAGGAGCCCATGTTCTGAGAATATTGAATATCAAGCTTTGTAGATTACAACTTAGAGAAAACAGGTCATTTCTTGGTGCTGTTGTATTGAATCAGACCACAGAACACAGAGCAGTGATGATTAATAGGCTTTGGGGCAGTACATATATAGGTTTATTCGGTTTGGTGATTGTGGCGAAAGCGACCTCGCCACTGGGCATTGGAGAAGACTGATTGCCAGCCTCCTGCCATGTGACTATGGCCCCTGGGATGTATTGCCCTTTAAAGACATGATTTGGGCATAATGGATTTGTGTTGTGCTGCTGCTGGCCCTTTAAGAACCATCTGGGGACATACTGTGGAGTTACTGGGTGGCCACCATTTCCTGTATCAGAAGCACATGGTGAGAACAATGGATGGCGGCCATTTTAACTCACAGACACTGTTTGGACTTTTCAACACGGTGCCATCTCGCCAGTATTTGGTGCACAGAGACATCGTGCAGTGGTTTTGGACTATACAGCAGGGGACACATTATACAGTGATTGTTTTTCATTTAGCCTGTATATGTTCTGCAGAATCTGCATTAAACTGTATCTTCCAAAGTACTGATGTGTTTTATGAAACTTTATTTCTCTGTCTGTGATAATTAGATTACCCATTGTGTAAGGTAATTGTATTACAGGCAGAGGGGAGGATTTTGTGTGGGAGTGTCTGTGTGTATTGTACAGATTGATTGGTTGTTCTGTTAAACCTTGTGGGCAGTACTAAATTTGTGGATTGGGAATAAAAGAGGCTGTATGTGCCAGTCCAGTGAGTTCCTGTTTTAACCCTCAAAGTGAAGTGTCGTCTCATTATTGGGGGAAGGATTCATTGTATGCTGTTCCAGTTTGACTGCTAGGAGAGTAAACCTATTCGTATGGTTCCTATTCAACTGTCTACAGCATTCATATGCTAAGAAGTACTCACATGCTTCTCCTGTTTGGTGATTGTGGTGTCTGCCAGAGTGCTTGGAGTCCTCAGGAAACGCTAGGAGCATCCTTTAACGGAGGTACCCAGTTGGGGTGCCAGGTGATCCGTTACAGTGATGAACGAGTTACTTAAATGAGTTCTCTATAAATATTGAAAAAGAGTGGGCATAGCTATCACAGATTGGGATATTGGGCTTGACAGAGTGGTTATAGTAGATTGTTGAATCAAATCTGTAATACGTAAATAAGTGTTAAACTAGGGAGTACATTGAGGGAGTCCCCTTAATCCTGTCCTGGTGGTTGCGGGAGATAGGAATCAACAGAAAGGTTAGGGTATTGAAATATTGGAAGTAAAGTGTAATGAAATTTGGAGCATTTTATTATGGCAATTAAACAAGTCGGTTATTAGTAAATGATTGTTTGATGTACTTTGACTGTTTGACTATATCAGATCGAGTCCAACTATACACTCTAGTCAAAGCAATTGCCAAATAATAATGGTAAATGTTAGGAGCTTTAAACCTCGTCTTCGTCTGGGGTACAAGATTGCATTGTAGCACTTGCAGTGTAAACGCTCACCTAAATAGGCTGGACCATTCTAAATCTTCCAAACTGTACCGTCCTGAACCGTTCCGCTCAGTGGAAACGAGGCATTAGTGAAAACCGTAAATCGTCAGCAAATTTCGAAACCTTATATTCAGTATTCATAATATCAATACCAGAGTTGGCACAAAATGCATTAAATAAGGGTTCCATACTGAGAGCAAATAAAAGAGGAGAGAGTGGACATTAGGGAGATCAATGACCATTGACTATTATTCCGGCTGACTAAAGTTTGCCAGGACCTTGTAGCAGCCACATTTATAGATAGTGGAACAAGAGAGAAAATAAATGCAATGATGAAGCCCTATGATTGGCTGCAAAATAAATTTGAAGCAGAACCATGGCCACATAGGGCGTGAAAACATTAACACACCAACGTACCCCAGAGTGGGCTTGTTGCCATTTTAGAGTTAATATCATTACCCTGCTTGAGAGTAATAATAAAATGGTATTCAGAACTGAACAGGATGCAAAACAATGCTGAGATCATATATATACCGTGAGAACCTGCCACTTCAAGTGCTAAGCATGTCTCCGAGCAAGTATAATGAGGATTAGACACTTTATACATCATTGTTAGTTCTGCCTTGTTTGGTTTTACAGAGAGTTCCATTTGGGATTGTTACAATAGTCAGTCCGATAAATGTCAGATGTGTGCTAGGAATGACCATTGCTCTTACTTACATTACATATATCAATTATTCTTTTATCATGTGTAATTCTCTGCTGATCTGCACGGTGTAGCTGGAGGTCTCAAAACTATGACTTAATGCTTTAAATGTAAACAAATTAGCGGATGTTGTACCCATTCTTAATCCCTTAAGGACGGAGCCAAATGTACACGTTGTGAACAAAACAAAATGTAAACAAAACTTGGCATTTGCGCTACATGTCTGTCCAACCGTAATTCACCTCTTTCATATTAAATGCACCCACCCTTATTGTAACGGACCGTTTTGCACACAAGGGGTAAAAACCGTTTAGGCGATCGTCCCCTTTCTAGAGATGCAGGCACAGCTACTGTAGAACACCAAACTCCCGAACCGCAAATAAGGGAATGCTCCAAACTCCCGAACTGCATACAAAGTAGCACTCCAAACTCCTGAACTGGAACCTCACGAATAGCTGCTAGCAGACGAATAGGAAAAGCACCCAAGTGGCTTACACTCCTGGCAATCAGTCTCTATCAGCATACAGTAAATCCCCCCAAAGACGAGACAAGGCTCCGTGTTGAGGGTCAAGCAGTGGTCTGTTTACTGAGGGCTACCTGCCCAGTATTTATGCAGGTCTCCCACCTGGTGGACACTCCCCTAGGGGACCAAATGGGAGACTGTGACAAGGGACAGACAAGTAGACAAATAGGACACACAATCACATTGTATTCCCACAATGCATCCTGGCTTCCTCCCCTCTGCCCTGGAGATAATTGAGAAGTAATTCAATTATCTCCCAGGACAAAGGCAAATCGCCATTATGCACGTGGGGATACTAAAACAAGAATTACTATTAAAATATACTATGTGACACAAGTTACATTAAAACCATACATTTAACATATCCCCAGATAGCTCAGGTCTGAGCGCACATTATTAAGCGAATGGCGCTCAGACCACACGAATACAGTTCAATCGCCATGGAGCCAAAGTCTTTACAAAGTTAGTTCTCATACGAATGAGCTCCATGGGATTCCTATCTGGGGTATAATACAGTCAGGTAAAACTACCAAACACCGGGCCGTTCGTGCACTCCCGCCGAACAAGAAGGGAGGTCGGTGGCTTCAGCGGTGTTCGCGACAAACTGTGTCCGTTTTTAGTTCCATGAGTTAGGCATCAAACACGTTTAAAATGGCTGCGACCTCGTGTTCGGTATACGAATGGCGGCCACCCACTATT